CTACTTGACTCCTTATGGAGATCATTATTCATTTACTTAATTGAGAAATTAATCCACTAATTCTCAAACCGCTGATGATATGGCTACTCGTCCCTCCAATACACATGCATCAAAACACAATTTTCTGATACGGAGGTGGATACTGCATCTCCTATCATTTTCAGCACGGGACAGTCTATAGTTTGAACTAAAATCGATAAAATCTTACTTCAACGTCTAAGTGTTACACTAAAATATTCTATATCCATACCTCGTCAAATCTTATAAGGGTCACAAACAAGCGAATATCTGCTTCAGTCAGTGTGTCTCCACACAAATATCTCTGCTTGCTGAGAATCTCCTCACATCTGTCTAGAGCTTCATACAATTTTGTTACTGCCTGTAAAAGAAAAAAAGGCAATAATTGTTTGGGTCGGGAGCGATAGATCAAAGCCAGAAAGAACCCGCATTGTTTCCTCACAACTACTAAGAAATTCAATGTGGCATGGATAGGCACGAAGAAATATTTACCTCATCGTAAGGTTCCTGCTTCTTTGCGAACCCGCATCTATAGACACCATTATTAATCCCATCATATATCCACTCATTCACTTCATTAATTTGTGCTTGCAAGTGAGGAGGATAAAGGTCAAGAGCTGCATTCTCAGCAATATGATTGAATTCAGTATTAAACATGCGAATTATATCTGAGCTCTCATTGTTTACGACTGTTTTCAGCTTCTTATCCCAAAGCACCTATAACAAAAACGTAACAGATTACATAAATTAACAAAAATATAAATCTGGAAATAACTAAAAGGGAAAAATTCACTTCTATCGATAACACATACAGGAACTGTATATTTCCCCGAGTAATTTGTGCTTGCAAGCTCGTACAGTTCTCTTATACTTTTGGCACCATTTAAAGGGTCGGGATCAGCTCCTGGTTCCTCTGTACTAGAAGTTGGGAAGACCCATCCCATGTGATCATCCGTATCCTTTGTCCTTCCCCATATGGGCTTGACTGACTGACAGGATAAAGAAAATAAATAATTAATAGGAAGTGATAATTAATATAAAAAGTGGTAGTTTGAAGTATGAGATTTACGGTGAAACTAATTGCATTGTCGAGTCCTTTGATCTTCAGGTATGCAAGGCACCTAGATGCCCACGGACAAGCATATGATATATACAAGTGATACCTTCCAGCTTCTGCGGGAAATTGAGAATTGGGATCTCTTGAAATGGTATTACGAAAAGTGGAAGGAGTTCTAATGAAAGCGCCAGCTGTTGACATCTCATCCAGAGCTGATCGGGCCATTCGAATAGTTTTCTAAGAAATGATTCTCATATATTAGAACATCTCCATCCTTCCACAATTCAATATATGAAGTTAAACAATGCTATGCAGGAGAATGCAATCTTATGCTTCAGACATGATCACGCATCAAATATATGAACAAGATTGTAAACTGCAATTCACATGTTCATGCTAGCATACGATACTTTCATCAAGATAGGGCGTGGGATCGCAGCAGCTGATAGTTGTAGCATAACGTTGTATTCCGTCCTATATTCACATTATAAGAATGATCTGGTAATACAAAATTTAATTTTCTTTACTTGAAAGTTGAGATTTGAAAGCTCATTAGGACATCAACTTCATTGTTCCTATTTCTGCTTATTTTCTCTTTCAGAAAATTTAACAATCATTTTCAGTAAATCTGAAACAATCTCAATAGTTCACCACTCTTTATAAATTCATGAGTGTCCCTATTTCTT